AAAAATAAAAAAAATTATGCTTAGTTCACTTTGCAAATTTGTTTACAGTTTATCTTTACTAACAATTATGATAGATTACTCATTTGCTCATATGGTAAAACTACTCATGCATAAATTTGTCACACTTATGGTAAAAGGCTTTTGTATCTGTTTGTATTCTTGCACTCGAAGTTTTTTTTTTTTTTTAAATATTGTAGGTTTTTGTAATATTTGACCAATAATTTATAGCCAATTCATAAATTATAAAATCTTTATTATCCGAAAAAACAATTTTTTTAGACATACAGCACCAAAAACAAATCATAAGAATGACAATAACTTTCAAATTAAAAATGATTTCTTCGTGGCCCGTGAATTTTTAAATATGCATTCATTATTAAATCGAGGTACGTTAAGTTTGGCAATTTCGTTCTTAGATAGTGATTTCCTTCTGATAACCTTACTTTTGTTACTATAAATCAGGAATGGCAAGCCAATAGCACGCGACAAAAAAATGATAGGCAGGCATTATTTGAGGAATTTAGGTATGCACTATCAGCACAGTCGACCCCTGACCACTTTCAAAACTGTTCCATTGAGAGCAGCAATCGTAGTCCAATAGTCACACTCGAATGCTTACTAGCCAAATAAATCGGCTTTATAAAGCTCAATAAACTTTTGCTACTAGGGCCCATGATGTGAGAACTACAATATGAAAATCCAGCGGGGAGCAGGAGCAGGTGGAAAAGGGTGGAGACCAACATCTCGTGGACAAATCATTAAAGAATGCACTCTTTTCCGGAATCCATGGAAGAGATCTTGCAATAAAGTCGAACAGAAAATACAAAATAAACAATCAAATAAGCAAAATGTATTTATTCTATGTACAAACAATAATCCGAAAGGCATGATTAGGTGACAAAATTACGGTCTCTGTGCTGCGAATGGCCTAAATTCTTGGTCCTATGGAATACTTCATAGTCAAGTGAAGCCGAAAAATTTCCTTTGGTACAATTCTGACCTTTGGCAAAGAATCTTTTGTTGCATTTCTGAAGGTAATCCTGAATAAAGTCCACTTTTAAGACATTGTTGTGACAGCTTATTTCTAATATAGAAGTGAGCTATATTAGAAAATCCTGGAGTATTTTGTTTTGAAATACCT